ATAATGGTTGGCTTAGGGTTTAGGGTTTAGGTCACCGCACTCTTTTTTTTTTTTGGTTTGTCATGTGGAACTGGCCTGCCGCAGCTGTACATTGCTTGAGAGTTTCGTCTTTAAGATCTTAGTGGCAACTCTGATGCTAGGGTATTTCTCAAAATTGTCCCTGTCCCTGTCTAATCCTGAAATGGAATCCTTCGAGCTCCATTAGCAACCCACAACGCCTCCATGGTCCCTCAAGGCTTTCTTTCTGAGAAGGCCCCCCCAACTGCCCAAAGACCCGATCCTTAGGCCCAGGGCCTATGAAGTACTCAAAGCTTTCCTGGAAACCTTAAACCTTAGAGCAATAGGTTTTAGAGCTTTCAGTGCAGGATTTATGGTAAAGAGTTCAGGGCCTAGGGGTCAGTAAACCTTCAGCCCGAAACCCTAAACCACCTCCAACCCTCAACCCCAAATCATTAAACCCTAACCCCCCCCGAAAAGGAGAGCTACTTCTACCTGCCTGCTAACTGGCTGGTCACGCACCAGCGCCGTGCAGCTCACAAAGATACTTGGAATTTAGTACCCCAAGGGTCCCGGCATGAATGTAGAACACTCGCCTGTTCTGAACATGACTGTTGTTTGGGTCATTATAACCCCTCAACAGCCAAAATTATCTTTTAGGAGCTTGTGCGACCCAGGTTCCCATACCTTTTGGCCCAAGTTTATGCTTTTTGGGTACTTGGTGGACCCACAAGGGTGGCGTTTTTCAGGCTTAAGAATTGATTCAGGGTGCGGGCCCCAAAGGTTCTAGGATTCTAGGATCTGAGACTATGAGCTAGTGGGGCCCAGCAGCAGAGCCGCCCCCGAAGACGTTGGTTCGTAAGTTTCTCAAAATTACGGACCCTTTTGCTAACCCTAAACCCTAACCCTAAAACCTAAACCCTGAACCCTAAACCCTAAACAACCTGCCCAAAGCCTAGATCCTAAATCCCTGGCCTTTAGCTTGGAGATCCTAAACCACGTAGGGTTTAGGGTTTAGGGTCTAAACTTTATCCCCTAAACCCTAAACCCTAAACCCCCCCACAAAGCGCTTCAATCAATCCCTTTAGAAGCTCAGGACATGCAGGGGCGGCTGGTATGCCAGAACATGAACCTCGCCTGAAATGTTAAAATGTCTCTTTTTTTTATCTGGAGAAAGGGTTTAGGGCTTATGGTTGAGGATTTGGGATTGAGGGTTTACGGCGTTGGGTGTTGAAATTTGGGTTTTCGGATTTAGGGTTTAGGGTTCATTCAGGATTTAAAGGGTTTGAGTTTAGGCATTTTGCAACTTAGGATGTTCCTGTGGCACATCATCTTCGGCGAGCCCCTCGCACAGCCGCATCGCATGTACGATCCTAGCTTGCCGCTGTTTCTTGTGTACCCTTAGGACTTGTTTTCTTTTCTGTTTACGGATTAAGGGTTTAGAGTTTAGGGTTTAGGGCTTGCATTATCACACCCCATAGTAAGTAGCCCCCCTTCCCGGGGCTGGGGGTAATCAAAACCCCCTCCTTGTTTTTATGTTCAAGGGTGCAAGGGTTGCACCCCAAACCTTCAATCCTAAACCTTTAAGCCCACAACACTGAACCCTAAACTCTTCAGAATCCTCCAACAGATTCCTTGGGGAATTCGTATAAGGGCTACATGGCCACCATATTCGGGAACCTGTTTAGGGTTTATGGTTACGTTGCCAGTTACTTACTTCTACTACAAACAACAGAATCCACTTACCCTAAACCCTAACCCTGAAAAACCGAATGTTGTGCCGTGACCAGGCATGAAACCAATCCTACATTTCCCTTGTATCCATTATCGGCAGTCTCGCTAGGTTTTTTCCAAGCTTTCTTAATGAATCCGTATACTCACCCGTATGTAAACCCAGCTTCAATTTCCTTTTCCTGTTGCTCCATCGGAATCTCCATTTCCGAAATTCACTCCCCCATTCTCCCACTGTAGAACCCCAGTTTCCATTTGATCTGTCAATCTTCTACCCGTTCTCGATGGAGGTTTCTCAAGACGCGCAACATTAGAACCGCCTATATGGACGTCGAGGATGGAACGTGAGGAAAAAGAGCAGTTGAGGCTTTCGGGGTAGTGGAGAGAATTCAGTCTTCGTAAAAAGCCGTCAACCCATAATCCCCTTTAGCAAGCTTCTTGATAAGTCCTCTGACCCTCACAGCAGGGTGTACTGTTTAGGAGATAGGTTTTTGGGCACCTAAACCCTAAACC